GCTGGATGTCAGGCCCCACATCACTGAGCGATGCCAATAACCGCCAACCCCAGCACTTGGAGCTGTGTCAGAAAAGTAACAGGATTTGCTTGAGCGTCGGGTCGTCTATTACTTGCAGCCAAACGCATCCCTTACGGACGCTCCCAGCAAATTACACGTCCCAGGACCCATCCCACAGCGGAGCCCAGCTCCCCAGGCTCATCGCCTAGCTCTGCCCCTTACCAGTCTGTGCCCTTGGGCCAGACACTCCCTGTCAGGTGCCACAGCCCCTCCCTCACAGAGCCCATCTGCCATCCAAGGATGGTGCAGGGCCTCGCCCGAGAGCACTCAGCAAACAGGGGATGTGCTTCGTCTTAGTCACACCCCTGGACAATGCCTAAGAGGATTCCATTTCCTTTGCTTTTTAAAGTCCCACTGATGGACACTCTGGACAAAGGGAACTCTCAGCAGCAGCCGCAGAGGGGACGGAGGGGACACGCCTGCCTGATCTTTTCAGAAAGCTCTAGTCGGGGGCTGGAGAATGATTCTTATTGACTTTCTGCTTCCCACCAGCCTGTCAGGGTCAGGCTGGGAGGCGGAGAAGATGCCTCCAGAGCAGAACTGAGCGACTGATGTCACTGTCGTCTTCATTAACATTACTCACGGCCACAGGAGGCCCCGCTGGGCCGCTCACAGAGTGCTGGCCGTGAGGGTTACTCAGACCCTGGACACAGAGGCAGAGATGAGCCCTCCCCACCCGCCTTTCCCTCCCTGCGGTTCCCAGAAGTCAGCACCCAGCCCTCCTGACGGAGGGCTAACGGGAGGGTCAAACAAGACCTCGCTGTGGACGTCACCCACGGCTGCAGAGGCCAGGCCACATTTTGGCTTTGGGTTTTGGTTTTCAGCTTTCTTTGTTTGTTTGTTTTTATTTTGTGGTTGTTTGTACTGGGGATCAAACCCAGGGTTGCTTGACCACAGAGCCACATCCCCAGCCCTTCTTATTTTTTTTGAGACACAGTTTCACTAAGTTGTTAAGGGTCTTGCTAAGTTGCTGAGGCTGGCCTCAAACTTGCCATCCTCCTGCCTCAGCCTCCAGAGACACTGGGATTACAAATGTGAGCCACCACACCTGGCCCGTGTCATGTTTTTGGTAGGAGAGGAGGAAGAATGGCCAGCATGATGCACCAGGGGAGGCATGTAGACAGAGAGTATCTCAAGTTCAACAAGAAGGCGACTGAATATTTCATGATCTACGAGTGTAACAAGGCAGGGAAGTGCAGCTGAAGGCTGAACCAGCAAGGGGTGCAGCTACCCCTGAAGAGCAGTGAGCTCGGGGCTCTGCCGTGCCCTGGGTGAGGGCGAGGAGTCCGGGGCTCGCTGTCCTGGGCTGGACGGGGGGCTCTGGAGGTCATCGTGAGATTGAAGTAACAGCCACAGATGCAAAGTTCGCTTTCAGGTTTTTTAAAGATCACCTGCTTGGGGCTGGGGCTGGGGCTGGGGCTCAGCGGTAGAGCGCTCGCCTTGTACGTGCGAGACCCTGGGTTCGACCCTCAGCACCACATAAAAAAATAAATGAATAAAATAAAGGTATAAAAAAAGCTTTAAAAAATATATTTTTTAAAAAATCACCTGCTTTTAGTCCCAGGGTGGGAGAGACCTGGCACGGAGGGGACAGGGGCACGGCCACCCACACGTCACCACAGTCCTACAATCTCTGGGGCGGGGAAGCCCACTGTCTCCATCCCAGGAGGGGCCACTGCCCTGGGAGGTGGGGGTGCTGCTCCCCAGCCAGGGGCCGAGACCCTGAGGCCCGGCCAGCAGGAGAGGCCTCTGGGAGGCTGACCTTGGGCAGGTGGTGGGAGAGCTGGGGACACTTCATCTGAAGGGAGGACTGGGGGGGGGCACAGGAACCACCTTCAACTTCTGAAGGACAGCAGGAGCCCTCAATGACACCCCTCCCTGCAGCCACCCGCCTCTGGCCTCCAACATCCTGCGCTTCCTCAACGCTCCTCAGACCTCGCCGCATGCTGCCCCTGGGCCTGAGAGGCCATCTTCACCCCCCTGCCACCTCSGGCTCCTCGCTCTCTGTCCTGCTGTACGCCTTGTGGCCCTCTAAGCTTCTCTGCCACCACAGGGCCAGGTCAGCGTCTGCCTGTGAGCTGCCTTGCACCTGGTTTCTAACCCTGAGTCACCGAGGGTGACCTCAGGTGCCCACTGCCCAGCTCAAGACTGGCACCTAGTAAGTGCTCGCAAAACGCTGACCTCCTGAGTGACAGGCACCATGGGCGGGAGCCACAGGAAGAGGAACTCCAGCTCAGCGAGAGAAGGAACGTTCCAGCACATTGGCCCTCCTGCCTGGAGACTGGCAGCGTGCACTGCGAGGGGCTGGCCTCCGGGCACCTGCTGCGCAGTCACACTGGGGGTGGAGGGGAGCCTGTGACCCCTGAGGAAAGTTCCAGCCCAGAAGTCCTATGTCACCCGCCATAGCCCAAAGAAGGAGCCAGTCATTTGGGGAGGGGGGGGCGGGAAGAGAGGGACACCCTTGGGATGTCAAGCCTGTTACTCTGGAAACGGAACATTTATAGCACCAAGGACTTTGGGGKCTGGGCGGGCAGCTCTGGGGACGTGGGAACAGGTGGAGCAGGACCAGGGGCTGGGCCCTGGAGTGACGGGTGTGACTCCTTCCTGCCTCCTCCCCATGCTGGGCTCAGGRGCTCAGGAGGCCTCTGGGGACAGGGGTAGTTCGGTTGGCCTGAGTCCCCAGTATCCAGCCCAGGCCCAGGCACACGCTGGCTCTTGACTCTAGGAGAAGCCTCTGCTGCGCCCGGTGCCAGCCAGGACCAGCTACRCCATCTATGGGGACCGAGGCAGAGCGAAAACCCAGGGCCCTGGCCATAAAATAAGAATATGAACGCCAGCCAGCCCCCCAGCCTCCCTGGCCCCTGCAGTCGGGGACCCCACCCCAGCCTTAGGAGCAGGCAGCAGGGAATCACGAAGCAACAGCAGAGAAGTTCAAGTTCAAGGGCAGGGGGCGGAGCTTGTGGGGGATCCAGGGTGGAGCCAGCAACACAGATGACTTCCAGGAGGGGGATGGGGGTGAGGAAAACCGTCCTCAACTGGACGGAGGCRAAGGGAGGGCCGTCCCTCTGCGATGTCATTTTGGAGTGAACCTCACCAGACCCATCTGCGGACTATTTCATTATCCCGGGAACATACCTGTGATTCACTGTTTCCTGTTAATTAAAGGGCTCAGTGCTGTGAGGTCACACGCTCACTTGTAGATTGTCACCCGGCAGAGACCCACGCACGGTTCCTGCCCAACATGAAAGACCTCGGTGGTGACCACAGGTCGCGGTTCGCTCCGGGCAGGTCCTTAGCTGCCTTTGATTCTCCGCCCGCCCTGGGCCGGGTTCTCTGTGATGTCTGCCTTTCTGTTTCTGGGGGTGGCCGGCCAGCCGCTTCCCTCCCTAACGAGCTGAATCCGTTTGTGAGGGGCGTGCACGCTAAGACCTGGGGGTGGGTCATTTCTTTTAACTTTTGGAAATGATGCTTCGACACAAAGCTACTTCCAGAATCAGGACGGATRCAGGAGCCTCATGAGGGCCCCAGAGAAGACCTGGGTGGACGTTGCGTCCTCAGAACAGGGACAGACACAAGCTGTTCTGGAAACACAGAACCCAGGGACAGAAGGCTCCTGGGGAGTGACAGGGAGGAGTCCCTGGGGGCGGCGGGGGGAGAGGAAGGGCCTCATCCCCCAAGATGGCAGAGAGGTGGGGAGAAGGCGGAGGGGGACATGTCCAGCTGGTGGGGATCAGAGAAGGAAAGCGGAGAGAACCCGGCAATGGCCAAAGGAGAAGTGCGGGCACTTTGTTCTGAGCTGAAGGAGCAAAGGCCTGACTCCCCGAGATGGAGCGGGGACCCCGCGGGCCCCATGGGGGGGGAAGCCCGTCATCCTCCAAGAAAGAGGCTCGGCACCCCCGGCTCACCCACTGAGCCCTGGTGGCCACGGCACGGCGGCGTGTGCCCACCCGAGGGACAAAACCCACTGAGACTGAGCAGACACACAAACCGCCCTCCCACTCGGGACCAGAGGGACAGGCGGACGGGCAAGACTGAAAACGACACTCCAATCCCCGTTGCTTTAAGAACTGCTTCAGGATGTCCTCCAGGCAGACCAAAATGAGAGCCAGCAGGGAGCTGGCCAAGGGTGACAGGGACAGGCAGCCTCCAGAGCCTGTCCCAGGTGGGCGGGGCCTCCATGCCCTTCCTCCCGCAGCGCAGGAGGCGGCAGTGAGCTCGCCCACAGCCCCTCGCCCCCACCGTCCCCACCATCCCCACTGTCCCCACGGCTGCCACGCTGACCCAGGACTGGGCATGGTGGGCCTGCTCGTCCTTCAGCCTGGGGCGTCCCCTCGTCAGGGGAGCACTCGACCTGAGTCCCCCGCGGGGGCTCCCCTTCCTGGTGGGAGGACACAGCAGCTGGAGCCTGTCCCTCACCCCAGCATCTGGCCCAGGAAGGCCCTCTGCACCCCCAGCTTCTGTGCTTCTGTGGATGGACAGGCCCCAGAGCAGGACGGCTCCAGCTGGCTCGGGGACACTCGGACCGTCCACGCTGTGACCTGGCCTCTCTAACTGTGGCCCGGGCTGGCCTCGAACTCCCTGCCTCCTGCCTGGTGGAAGTGACCAGAGTTGGGAGCAGATGGCACCTGAGTCTGCCCTCCGCCTAGACTCACAAGGACGAGGACAACAGTGACAACAGTGACAACGGCGGTGCTCACTGGAGCTCGTTTGGCAGCTGCTGCTTTACCCCATTTCACAGAGGAGCAAATAGGGGCTGGGAAGTGACTTCGACAGGCCCGTCCCTGAGGTGACGCAGGGGGATATGGGACCTGCCCAGGTCCTCCCACCCAGGCCAGCGAGGCTCCGCTCTCTAGCCCGGCCCCGGGCCCTGGCCCCAGCCTCACCGCGACCTCAGTGACCCCGCGTCCGAGTGACCCCTGGCTGCCCTGCTCACGACCTACCCTGCCATGACGATGAAGAAATCCAGGCGGTTCCAGGTGTCCCCAAGGTAGCACTTCTTGCCGAAAATGCCCAGGGCCACCATCTTGAGCACCATCTCCATGGCGAAGAAGATGAAGATGAAGTCATCAAAGACCTGTGGCAGGAGGAGGACACCAAGGACAGGGTGGGCTTCAGAGCCAGGCTGCAGGGCTGGGGTGGGGACGAGGTGTGGGTCGGGGACCCCTGGGGACTCCTCGCACAGGAACCGCCCTGGCCCAGTGGAGTCATCCCCCAGACAGGAGGCCCAGAGAGGGGAGTGGACTTGCCCAAGGTCACACAGCCCATCCTTGGTCCCCTTGGCCTGGGGTGATGACGAGGGAGGGTTGGGGGGCAGGGCAAGGGTCTCTCCCATATTCTCCCCAAAATTGCCAAGCGCTGGGTAGACACTGGCCGTGCACCTTCTGGTCCAGCCCCGCGATGGCCCCCAGCGGCCTGTTTTGCAGGGGAGGCAGCTAACACGGAGGAGGGCAGGGCCGGGCAGCCGGGCTCACCTGCAGGATCTTGCAGCGGTCCGACAGGCAGTCCATGTCGTCGCAGGGCTGGTACATGCCGAGGGTCACGCAGTTGAGCAGGATCACCAGCATGCTCACGCACTCGAACCACGCACACAGCAGTCAAGGTCAAGGTCGGGGGGCAGCCTCGGCAGAGCTGCGCCCGCGTGCTGCGGCCCATCCGCCCGCCTGTGCCCATCACTCGTGGTCTGCCCCACCGCGGCCCGAGCACCACCCCGCTGCCCTGCAGGGGCCCCTGCCCGCCTCACCCCGGGGCTCCCCAGCTCAGGAAGGGAGGGCTCCCCAGAGGTGGGGGCAAGACTGAGGCCAGCTTCCGCACTCTGGCCTCATCCCCTCCCTGACCCCCCTGGTCTGCCCTGAGCCCAGACCAGCTGGACGCCCACCCCTGCACCAAGCCAACAGCACCTAGAGACCCTCTCTCCACTGAGCCCCCAGAGGGGACAGGGCCTGGGGGCCCCAGCTCTGCCCACCCCAACCCCTGCTCCACCTTACCCACAGCCCACTGTGTCCAGTCCCACCACTCTCAAACCACCTAGTCACAGAAGCTCAGAGGGACCTCAGGGCCTGTGTCTTTACGATCCCCCATCTGTCATGACACAGAGGAGACGGCTCAGATCTCAGTCTCCCAACCTGGACTCTCCTGTCTTGACCGAGTCCTAGTTGAAAAAGGGTAACTCAAGGTAAAATGGACTTAAGCCACAGACTGCATGAATGACTGCAGTCAAACTCACAGATGAACTTCCAGAACAGAAAGCCTGATGCCCTTAGAGGCCACATCTCTCCTTGTCTGCRACAGACCCCACTGCGTGCTGTCTACACAACCCCGACTCCTGCCCCAGAACTGAGCTGCAGAGGAAGACCTTGGTGGTCAGCTGGACAAGGGACCAGGGGACCTGATTGGACTTCAGCCCTGGCACTGAGGGACTCTGGGGCCTTAGGCATGCCCCTTACCATCCCTGGACCTCTTAGGCTCCCACTGAGGCCCCAAGACTGCCCACGGGGCTGCTCTGGGCCCTCCTCACAGCGAGGGTGAGGGGTCAAAAATACCAGGGAGCCTGGAACTGAACCCAGAGGCGCTTAMCCCCAGGACACGGAAACATCGTGCTCTGACCTCACAGTCCCCTGCCGCACCTCAGGGCCTCTGCACACAGTGTCCCTGCCAACTGGGGGTGTGACGTCCAGGACCCCCCAAGGCCGACCCTCTAACCTCATGTCACCTGCYCTGAGAAGTCCCACCCCCCTTCAAGTGCCTGCCACACCCCTTCCTCTTTCCTTCCCTCCAAGCACTCACCACCCAACTGTGACAGAAGCCACCTCCCAGGGGACAGGGACTTTGCATTCACAGCTGTGACAGTAACAGGCATCTAGGAGCAGCCCCCGTCCCCCTGTCCAACTCCGGTGGAGCCTGTCGGACCCTCAGCCAGACCCTGGCCCCAGTGGGGGAGCCCTCTTGTCCCTTGGGGAGTGACCTGGTTTCCTTGGGACTTGGCCTTCTGCCGCCTCCCTCCCTTGGGGTCTCTGCCCTGCTCGTCCTGTCCCCCCACCCACTGCCATCCCCCCTCCCAGCCTGTAATCAATGCCGCCGCTGCCAGGCCCCTCGGCCTGAGCCTCCCTGGCGGCCTCCTCGTTAATTAACTTTCTGAAGTTCAAACGTTCTAATTACCAGCCCGCTCCCCTGGCTCTGCCCCGCGCCTGGCGCTCCCTGTCCCCGGCCTCTGTCCTCCTGAGCAGCGTCTCCTGGGGCCTGGGGTCCAGCCCTCCCTACAGGGTCACAGGCCACTTCACAGGGGCCTCTCCAGGTCACCAGCTGGACCCCGAGGCCAGGGCTCTCCTCCATGGCATGTGGCCTTGTCCTCCCCACGGCCCGAGCGCCTCACCTGGCCCCGGCACCAGCCTTCTCTCCGGCCTCCACTGGGTCTCTGCCTCCAGTGTCCCCCACAATACCCAGCACCTGCTGTGTCCCCAACACAAAGAGCGTTTGCCAGTGTCACATCATCAGATCCTCAGGGTCCTGTGATAAGCCCCACTTACAAATCAGGAAACTAAGAGGGGACCCACCTGCCCATGGTCACCACTGGAAGGAGGGGGGCGGAGGCCCAAAGCCAGAGGCTGCTTCTCCCACCGAGCGCGGCCCCCCATCACCCGCCTGCACCCCGACCCGACCTCGCCCCACAGATCCCGTCTGCGGCCCGTCGCCCCCCTTGGCCCGACGCCCGGGGCTCTGACCTCATGGGCGCCTCCRGGCCCATCTCTCCCGCCGGGCAGCCCTAGCGCCTCGCCGTCCCTGGCCCTCCGCACACTGTCCCGCCGCAGCGACTCCCACTCGCCCCCAACCCTAACCCCATCCCTGGCCCCTCTGCCCCGCCCGAGCTGGAGCGCCCCACCCGCCAGGCCCCTCAGTAACCACGACAACCACGCGCCGGGCACCCCGGGACGTGACCTTAGCTGCCACCACAATTCACTGGGGACAGATGAGGAATCGGGCCTGGAGGTCTGGTGTGACTTGATCAAGGTCACACAGCAGCCCAGAYGGTCACTCAAGCCTGTGGCCACCACGCAGAGCTGCCCGGCTGCTTGTCCAACTCGCCCTGCGCTGGGTCCCGGGCCGGAGAGGAGGCCTCGGCTACAGATGCAGGGGGCGGGGGTGGGTGGCCCGGCCCCTCCCCAGGCACTCAGGGCATCCCAGGTGGCAGAGCCTGGGTCCTGGCCGGGAGTCAGGCAGAGCCGGCCTCACTGCCCGCAGCTCCCGCCACGCACCCCCACACCCCAAGGGCTGCAGATCAAAGGCGGCGGCCCTCCTGGAGGAGGAACCAAACCAAGCAGCRAGAGGTGGAGGCTGTCAGGGGAGTCCAGGGTTCCAGCCTGGCCCAGAGAGGGGTGGAGGCTGTCAGGGGAGTCCAGGGCTCTGGCCTGGCCCAGCGAGAGGTGGAGGCTGTCAGGGGAGTCCAGGGCTCT